TTGGAGACATTAATAGGATCCATTGGTGAAATGAATTCTGAATGAATCAGTCAAACATTTATGCAAATCGCCATAACTCCTTTGATCAATTTAGACAGATTAAATCATAATCGTTACCAGTGAACTATACAAATATGCTAGTCATGTAGAATTTGAGTTTGATCTCTACTTAAAAATGTCTCCGGATGCCTATTCTGTAGCATTGAACAATTTTAAGAAGACAGCCCAGGGATAAGGAGACGTGGTCACTTTACCATACCCTATTCTACAGCCGTTAAATATTAATAAGAGATTGAGCGAATCTTTACTCGGATTAGGCGAAGTTGATGGAGTGGTAGTCGTTAATTGGCTTTGGGATAAATTCGATCGTGTAATCAAGCCCTTGTTGTGAATCGTGTTGATTCACACTCGCTAATCCGATTTCCCCCACCTCTGACGCAGAGTCCCCCTTCTCACAGCATGTCGCCAGCCGCACGGATCCGCAACTCCCCCTCATTCGCACGAACATTCATCCTGGATTGTCCTCACACCTAGGTCTCGATGTCAGCTCATTTATGACTCACATATCTAAGCTATAAACATGCACTCAAATGCCAACCACACACACAACGACGACCTCGTCAAGTCCTCGAATAAACGGTTGACTCATTGTCCTTCCTCAGACTTCATCCTTGTTGGGTAGTTAGTGGAATATGGCGTCGCAACAAATTGGTGACCGTGACGAGATGGAAGGTTTTCCAAATTCCACGGCAATTGGCGATGCCACAACACCTACATTATTGTTTACATTTTAGATGCGCTTTCACCAAAAATTCTTACCCAGACCGAAGTTTAGAAAAGGAATTCTAAATCAAAATGACAATTTTGAGTTGTGATTTCTTGAATAACTGGGTGAATTAATGACCAGGAAACGTATAGCACTAGTTTAATTAAAACTACACCAAATCAAGTACTGAATTGCATGTCCAGAGAAAAAAACTTCACTAGTGCTTTGAAGATTAGCCTGATTAAACACCACTGAAGACAAAGTTTGACGATCAAAAACTGAAGGCAAATTATTTTTTTATTAGTTTATTGATCTAGCGGATCATTTATAGCCTTTTGATGTAAACTTACAGTTCATTGGTGCTGGTGGCAGCACATGGAAAGGCTTGAAGCTCGAGAACAAGGCCAATGGGTGAGTTTTCAAGTGAAAAACTTAGCTCCATAGACAGCAGTTGCAACAGTTTTACTGAATTCTTGACTGAAATCTTATTGTTAAATACTGTTGCACACAATATCACTATTTTTGAGTACACTGAAGCCTAAGCCTCGGAGACTGAGCGCGTATATGTGAATTCATCATTATACCAGTCAAGCTGACACACAATCACACTGTCGTTATCTGGCTAAGGGTTTAATATGGAGGAAGTTGGTGTGCAAACAGCAATAGTAGGGGTAAAACTTCGTGTGTTTACAATGGATGATTGCAAATGAATTTACGTGAGTAGGAGGCCGGGGAAGTTGTATCTCCTTTTCGAAGCTCCCGATTAGTCACAGAATACGATTGTTAAACTCAGATCGCAAACTAAGTTGTCGCAATCATTACTTGTAAAGAAATCCATCATTCATGCTACTACCATCAAATGCTAGGCATAGATAAGGCCTACAAATTAATACTACGCTAAAGTCATCTTAGAATAATCTTGACTGTCGAAAATGAAATTAACAGTTCCATGTTGCAATTAGAGAAACTCGAGATACATATCCAAGTACGTCACGAACCTTGTCAGCTAGATATATATCTTTACAGATATCATCCATATGATGCTTACCAAATTTTCTGTTACGCAGATTAATCAGTCTGGCAACTCAACCAGCCTCGGAGCCAGGCGCAAGCTCCAGAAGAGTTCTACCCATCATCAGAGTAGAGCAACGGTTCAACCGCCAAGAGTGCTCCACACAGACACAATTTTTATAAGCGTTGACAGGATTAGACTAAAAGTTATTTCTAACAAATTCAACATTTGTGATGAAACGGAATTGTGTCATAGAAATATCTGTGGTTAAGTGCAACAAGTGGGTCTTGATTCATGCAAATATTTACATAATAGCATGGCCAATTCCACTTATTGTAAAGCCTACAAAACCACTAAGAGCTCGGCGAAAAACCAAATTGAATGGAGTAGGACCAAAACTACGTGCCTGCGAATGGCATGGCAGGCAAACTAGGACATACATGAGGCAGTGACTCACAGCTCCTTTGGGTTGTTTTGCCTAATACCTTTAGTACAACGACGAGCAATTCGGTATGTCGTGGACACAATGGAGAATATTCTCGGGCAGAAAGTAGGGACTCTAGGAAATTGAAGCTGACTGCTGGAAGGCCCTTGTTCGGCTGAAGCAGAGTCGAAATGAAAGGGGTTAAGTGCACAGTAGGGTTACCAGTGTTATTTGCTCTGTAGGCGCTTAGCAACTCTGGACGCTGAAAAAACTGCATCAACTATTGCCAAAAAACCATCAAGTACAAGCTTATGATTCAAAACAATATATAGACAACACAAACGCGGAAGCACGCAATTTCGTGAATAAGTAATTATGCAATTACTATCAAGGCAACAGAATTCAACATTTTCTTCAAAATAATAACACACATTAGAATAATTTGAGAAAGAGAGAAAGGGTGCAGTACTTGTGGCCACAAAGTGCAAAATATTGTTTTCAAAAATTGATGTATGATATTGACTACTAAGAGAAGGTCGGCCACAGTAAGCCAAGAACCAAACGTACATTATTTCTAACCTCTTAAGATCCAGATACATACACAAAGACAGAATAATGCACTTGAAGTCCTAAATGAATTGAATTTGTGCTTGTCAAACACTCTGGAATGTTGTCAATGATATCCCTAAATTAGTCACCGGATGAGCAGCGCTAAAACTAAAGCAAACGGAGCAGATGGACAACGCGAAGCTATGGATTGACATTTTTCGGATGGCCAAAAGTAATTGGAGTGGGTACTTGCGCTGTGACCAAACTGAAACCTGGTGAAAAGGCACGGATTTTGAAGACGGGGAGGCTTTTTCTGCCTGGTCTTAAATTAGTGTTCCAGGTAGAAAAATTAGGTGTTTAAGTTGCAAACTGCGTTTGATTGCCAAGTTCATAATTACGCACTTTGTAGGTGTGCTTTTTAGACTGACTTGTTTACATGCTAGGCAGGACGTGACACCAATTGGTGTTGAGTTATGAGGCTAACTTTTGTTGACGTTGAGTAGCGATAGCGATAACATCCTTCCCCATTTGACAATATTTACTTTCAAGAAATCAATGGGATTCTTGATGTTTTTTTCTCTGAATAGAAAAACATAATTTAATACCGTTGCAAATATCTGCTGTTGCGTAATTAAATACGAGCACCATTTTCTTTGGTGTAGAAAGTTTAAAAAGCTCAAACGACTCTTATACTACTTGAGTTAAAAGCGTTTTGTTGATCAAATGACAACTAGCACGCATTTATTATCCTTTGAACCAAACAGAATTTCCAACAGTAGGTGGACATTATCCATGCCCCGCTGCACAAAGTACAAGAACAGGTAGAAACCATCTCATTCAATCATCAATCAAAACAGTGTGTGCGTTCCGGTGGTTAAGTAAACACTATCATTATTGCTTGCTTCGTTTAAAAGTATAATGACTAAAGAGAGAAAATCACTAAAGAGTCAGGTGGGATCATCCTGTCACAATGCCCGTAAGCTTTTCAAACTTTGAATTTTGTCACTTTGTGCAATTAAAGTTGCATAACCAATTTTCAGGCAGATTACCAGTTTTTCCCATCCCATATTTATTTACGCTGAATAGCGCCTGCACAGTGTCCGTAAGCGCATCTAATGGAAAATGGATAAATTCTAAAGTAGAGGAACTTCCACACCAAATTAAATTTGTTTCTCCTTAACTTCGAAAATCGGGTAAAGATTCTGGCATTTAGTGTTTACATAAACTGACGCAAAATGATTTATTCCAACCACTCTCTAATTTCAAGGTCCTTGATCAGACATTTTGAGGTTTGAGAGTTTACACACACACACACACACACACACAGACACACACACACACACACACTATCGCCTGCCGCCTCCCTACCGATTTATATATTAGGAAGTTATGCCTAAGTACAACACATTTGGCGACTAGTAGATCACATGGTGGCCACAGTCTAAAGAGGTTACGTGATGTTTATGGGCTCGGTATACATATAATGCAATTAATTTGTTGGTTAGTGTGATACTAGGGGCAGATGGCACTAGAACTTGTCTTATAGCCCTGATTTTTGAAGTTACCGAATAAAGTTGACCAACACTAATTCGAGTTAACCTCTGCGCATGAAATACCATGAACACACACACCTGAAATGGTGGTGATCCCTGGAACAAAATCATTTGTTGCCCTTCATGAGAAAATTACTGACACGTGACTCACCTTTACATTGATGGACAATGAGAAGAATCCCTGTAGTTATTGCATTATATTAACGGAAGTGAGCATTAAGATTTAACAAAGATTTATATCGGCTAGTGACCCGTACGCATTAAAACCGTCAGTATTTATTCCAAGTTAATGTTCCCCAAATATACCCGTACTAACATCACAATAGCAAGTAATCACGAAGCACTCCAAATGTGGTGACCGGTGGAAGTTGTAAGTCGATTTCATCAAGCTAAAGCGCGAAACGTTAACATGTCTTCGACACCCCTCGTTGCAACAAGTATAGCCCTCTGTGTAGTTCTCACCAGGGTCCCAAATTGTTCGCCGGCGTCGACCACCAACTTTATGCCCATATTGGCACAGCAACGTGAACTGTGCTCTCTCCCCGACACAACCCCACCACCTGACACACCCAGGGTGGGGTGTTTCGGCACTCGCGGGCAACCGTACTAGGTGGTGGCTGCCAGTGGTGGCGAAAAACGAACAACGGCGAAACAGGAGAGCGCCACTCCCCCATTGCAGCTCCGAACTTAAAGCAGTCAGTTTCCCGCGCATGTGGTGGTGGCCAGGGTCGTCGTTTGAGGATGTGAGGTCTTCGAGGCGATGGGCCAGTCAGTGACTCCGAGCACAAGCGCAATAATTAGGCAGATGTTTATCTTCGAGTGAATTCGCACCTGCAGTTCGCGCTGAACTCGTCTGTTCAGATTCCGTTCAACGATCCCCAACTCAGTGTACGGATGCATGCGCTCGGGATCGTGAAATAAGAGACTAGGAAAGCGAATCACTTGAAATTCACTGAACGTTCTATGCACGAGCAATTTTTACTTCTCTCATAGGTGTGCGGTTTGTAAAACACCGTGTAAGCCACTTCGGTGCAAGCCCGCAGAAGTATTTCTACCTGTGATGTGGTTACTTTATTACATTTTTAGGGTAGCTCGTGTCTACCACCATTTGTAGAAACGAGATGATAGCAAATCAATTTGGTTTTCTGCACATATCACGTAAACGGGTTATAGTTAATCAGTGTGAGAAAAGTCTCAATTTCAGTACTTTTTCCTGAATTTCTGCCTACACTGTTCACAAATTCACCTTGACAAGAAACCGAGTTCTCCCATTATTCCTGAACACAATTTTATCTGAGCATCCACTTTTGCTCGACCCTAAATCTATTCTCCTGACTTTGGTTTTCTCTAAAGGTTCAATGAGCGAACATTAAAATAATGCTACACTCACTAGCTGAAGATTTGGGTAGCCCTTGGATTCCTAAATGTTGTGAACAACGCGCCATGTTACTGGTAATCAATATGTGGTACAGCTATAGTGGAAAATCAAATTGCGCGGGATTAATACACTGATTTCTGATCCCTCCCAGTATATGCATGGTGTGTTGTGTCCAAACATCCCCTTGAATCTGTTTTGTTTACCGTTACTCGAACCTAAAGCCGAAAAAGCTACATTATTTAAAAGACCATTGATGTGAGACGGAATTTTAAACACGCGAAGTTGGCTTCATAATTACATTTATGGGTACCATTAGGAAATGTATTGCCTTGTTTCCAAAATACACTTGTTTTCGTGCAAATATTTACTTTGTCTTAAACCAAATATGGGAGTAATTATCTAGCAAAAACAGACAACAGGAAAATAAATTTTTTTAAGAAAGGATCCTACGGAGTAAAGCTTGTCATCACTTTTGAGGAACTATGAAAAAGCAAAATTGAATCAATGTAGATGAAAACGGACGTCATCGATTGGTAAGGAAAAATTAAAATGAATCGGAGTTTTTGAAAAGGTGTGCAGTTAGCAACTTAAATTCCACCATTTACATCAAATCATGGTAACAAGGTATTAAGGAGGTTTGTGTCCTATTAATTCTATATTCGACACGAAAATCATTTAAATCCTCCATTTGTAAATTTAATCAGGTGTTCACGGTATATTACGAGGAGTCTGTAACACGATTAATAGCTTCGAATTCGGTAAATAATACTTTGTAACAGAAGCATTATATTTAAAGCGAACAATAGTTTTTGAGATTTTTGCATTGCAAGTTGCTGAGAGCAGTGTAAATTAGTTATGTTCAACTAGAAAAAAAACGAATAATCCCAATAGTTTGCCTTTATGATGGAAAAATGTTGAGACATCTCAAAAGTGATAAACCTGGAGATGTGCATCTAACAATTCCCATAGCATTCCTCGCAGGCAAGTTAACTTAGTCGCAGTGGAAAGACCCTTAAACTGATTAGGGTCTAAAACTGACGCATTTAAATGATTTTGCGCTCAACTTGACAAGCAAATCTTCACAATGAAAAATACTGTAAAAGTTAATGTAGTTGGGTCACCTTTTATCTATCTTTGTGGACATTAAAATAAAAAGTACAGCTCATAATTGACCAACCTTAATTCGCCTTGGTTCATCTAAGATGAATTTAACTGCGTCAGCCGGAAGTAACTTTGTTGCGGAGGCAAATATCGATCGTCCCAGCTGGCTTCTGCTCATCGCGCAAAAAACCATTTGAACTTTTGCTCGATAGAACACACTCGGCTGTGTAAGTGTGGCGGAGGCGAAGACGTTATTTAGAGTGCATTAGTGTAGATGTAATTTTACCGATTCGTCACTTATAGTTGATTTAAAGATTAGACATGTGCTGGATATACCACCTTGGATGCCATCAGAAGAAATCATATTTTGAGTCTACAAAATTAATTCTGGTAAATCAACTGGTAGATAAATTTGTAATTGTGGAGGAATATTTAAAGCAATAAAGCTTTAAAAATTGCTTATCGGTAAATAAGGTTTAGAAAATACAAGGAATATTCTCCAACAAACCTGGCCGAAGTCAAAAAAAAATGATAGTAAATGGTTTATAACAAGGAAATTTTTATGGTGTGATTCGAAAATAAAAGTTTCAATTTGAAAATCAACAAGAAACAGCAGTTTCCGGATTTTTTTAGAATACACCCGTCGCTGAAGGATACAAATGTGATTTCAGAAGACGATGGTTATTAAGCATTGAACCACACATTTAAGGCCATCAAAATCAGATTTATTCGAGATACACGTTATTGTCTTAGTAACCCTGACAAAGAGGTTTTCAAAAATTTGCTAAAAGATCTTTAATTGGTGAATACTCGTCTGCTGGCATTTAACTGCTCTGCGTAAAATTATACACAAATGGTCCATTATAAGATGGTGAAAACGCCTTTCCGCAATTGGGTGTGCGCGTGCGTGTCACACGAGGTCACAACGACAGTGTGCCAAATTAGATTTTAGCAGCGCGCGAATCCACGCCTTCTCGCGGCCTTTGTGAAAACCGGGTGTGAGACGAGTAAAAAATACTTTGATGGGTTACGCATATTCAACCTTAATTTCGGCTGAGGCACTTCAAGACAAGGCTCGAGTTGAATGAATTTCGTCCCATTTGGAGGCGATTCTGGTATTTGGAATAAGTTAAACAGCGGAAGATGCAGTTTTGCATGGCTCAGGGTCACACACCAAGTGGCGGTTCAAACTACTCTAACATTTTAAAGTAGAAGAGAACACACTACATGATGCTGATAGTCACTATAACCCCAGTATCTGAGGTGGCAAAAATACGTATTTACTACTGAAATACTTGATTCGAAAACGTTGCTCAGTCTTCTCGCATGTAATGACTTGGTACCTGCTTGAGATAACTCTGCGTAATGAGAATTAAAGCCGGAGGCTCAAAATATGTTTGACGTCAGCTGGAAACGTGCCTAAGCCGGTAAAACGAAATGGCAGCTTTTCGCAATAACTTACATAAGGATATCGACCACATTCGTGACTCGTGTCTCGAAGCTTCTGCCTAATCCTGGATATCTATTTTTATGCACAAAAGTGTATTTTTTACATTATTCTTAAAGTAGCAAGGACAATGATGTAATAAACCGATCGCAACCGGCCTGCAACTGCATCCTAAGCAATAAGGCGATGGTGGTGGGTGTAAATTGAATGCGGCAACACAGCACAGCTGCACACTGCGTGCTTTTACTGATAGCTAATAAATTAGCAAATTTATTTACTTTGAAAAAACAAATTCACAGAAGCCATTTGCATGAAGCATCCAACTAGTAAGTAGGCCTTGAAACTAGAGAGTTGAGTCTTATGCAACCCAATGATTCTTCCGCAGCAGACACCGACTGCTCTCCCGATTGCCGTGTCCACCGAACTCCTCGAGGGCGAACCACCTCGAGACCGACTCCGCCCGATGCAAAAGCCAAATTAAAACAAATAATGTTAGAATTAGTGAAAACTTTGTTTACATTTGCATGCTTTGCTCTGTGTCTCTCATGTACGCGGTTTCGGTTAGTGGCATGCTCTGCAATGTCACCAGCACAAACGGCACTACCACCCACGCGTTACAAAGGCGCTGCCTATGGGGTGCCAGTGGCGTATTTACAATAAGCCCCATAATATGCACCAATTCTTACAGAAAATGGATGTTGTTGATGTAATTAGCACGTGCAAAACTTCACCTTCACGTATGTTGTGGACATTGCCGGAGAAGATGATGTCTTGTAAACTTTTGTCCTAATTATTGCAAATGTAAATTAGACTTGTTCATCAACTCTGGTTTTGCATTGAATTCTCACTGATCAACCATATGAACCTCTAAATAGAAAGAAAAACTGCAAGTGATGCATTAGTGAAGGAAGTACCTCACGCCAACCGAATCCATTTCCATATTTCATGCATAAGCCACATCTTTGTGTTCGAGCTTACTTTGCCCCAATGTACGACAATTCGTGGAAAGAGGGCTTGTGTCTAATGCACATGACTAAAATTTTCCCAACATCTTGTGACATTCTGCAGCCGAAGTTGTGGATGACTTTGTGGGCATATGGGGAGTATAAGTCCCAGAAAAACCACGTTTTCAATAACTTTTGAAACCGGGGAACTAATGCCACATTTAATGGCCTTACAAATGTACATAACCTACTTCCACTTGTTTAAATCTCGCTTCTACATTGATGAGAGAATAAACTTAGCAGAAAGATTTGCATCTGACAATGAGATCAGGTATGAATATCCAGGAGCCATTAAATTCTTGAGAGACCTTCCTTGAATCAGAAATTCATTATCCTATAATTTTTTCAGAGAACATCAGTCTCCGTTTATACTTACTTTCTGAGTTACCTAGCCCTTTACCAAAAAAATCCCATTTGAGATGTTGCGTTGCTGTCTAGAGAAAAAATTTATCTATAAATTTAAGAAATAAATTTACAAAGCAAGCGTTAATACTACTAATCTATTTATTTCAGTAGCTCTACAATATTCCGAGTACGCTATTTTAGGCGTCAGTTGAATCTCATGGTTTTTACCCTTCTGTTTCGCAAAGTTTCTTTCGCTCTTACTATTACCAAGAAAATAAGAAGCATAGAAATCTGGAACATTCACATAATTAAAACACAGCAAAATGTTCCAAATAAGGATGTCTTGTAGAAGTATAGTTGTGATTAGGTCAAGTTCTCAACAATGTCTAAATAGATTAGGAGATCATTCACTTGCCATTTACATTTTCATTTGGTTGGCCTCTACTGGGTGTATACCTAAAACCATTCACCTGAAAACCTTAAATTCAGTAAGGGCTTACACATTAACTTGGTTGTACTTAGTGGCTACTTAAAACAATTCTTAAAGCCCTGTGATGTGGACGTGTATTTAACTTAGTTAAAAATAGATTAGGTGCTTTTCATAGTCGGTCATCGTTATTGCGAC